TTCTTTACATACTTTGGGTTATATTGAATTTGATGTTTTGTGTAACCTAGATTGTTTGGAGGAGAGCCTTTTTAAATATGCTGATTTGCCTTGGTTTTCTAAACACACATATCATGTTATTGGCACATATAACAACAAGGGACAATATAGATACATCAAATATATATTCGCAGTAATATGAATTATCCTTTTGTTGTATAAGATTATGATCGTTTAGAGGGCAGCCATAAATAATACAAATCATTTTCTCATGTTCCTCAAAGAAACAAGTTCACTTCCAAGAAGAGGAGCATTGTTGGTTGCTACCTATGTCTACTAGACCATCTATTCCTGCATTGTCTCTAGTTAGTTCTAATCTTTTGTGGGATAGTGTTGATATATATCGTGTGCATTCGGATCATGGAGTCTACATGCTTGCTAAAATTTTTATGCGAGATGACATTCTAGAAACTTGGAAACATGGTCATGTTCCTTCTCACAATTATTTCAGTTCCCTTTGTCTTCTCAACCCCATTCTCGTTTATGTTGTGCAGGATCAGTTTCAAGCACAATCGACGCCGAGAGGACGGCTTTTCGTCAAGAAGGGGAGGATGATGAGGACATGAGACCCATGCATATGACCATGTTTGGCGCATGGTATGGAGGGGTAGGAGGCCAGCAAGGGTGTCCAAGTCAAGAAGGAGGCCCAAGGCTAATTTGGTTCGAGAAGGAGGCACGAGGCTAATTCGGTTCAAGTCCCCGAGGTGGAGGCCCAAAGCAACTCAAGTTCGAGCCCGTCTCGGAGTCCAGAAGCAGCACGTACTAAAAACAACGCCCATGTCGCATACGGTGTCCATTTTGGGCGTTCTTTATATGGATAGAAAGATAATTTCATAGAGCTTTCAATGGCACTAGTACCACCTTAAAATTCAATCAGAGTTAACAGGAATTATCAAAACAAGTGGACATCCAACAGAAACCGGAGGCCCGATCCAAGATGATTTCGAGTCTGCCTCGGCCTTCAGGTCTAGTCTGCCTTAAACTGGTCACCCAGGACGCATCCGAACTCAGTTTTCGACAATCCACATATGGTTGGAAAGCTAATTTGAGAAGGAAGCCAATCCAAGTGGTCTCACATCAAAAGCCTATCAGAATCAACGAAAATCGTCGAAACAAATCAGCGTCCAGAATCTGCCAGGATGCTGCGACACCATCTTTTGGTCCGTTGGACCGTGTATCGTGTTTGGGCCCATTAGGGGGCGCGTTCAGGGTAGGCGATGACCCTAAGACCTTTATAATCATATGCCACCGTCGTCATTAGGGTTTGGGTTTTGCTTAGATTAATCTGTCAAGAACAGTTTCACCGTTCATCGGTTTGTGAGACCCCAACTTCGTGAGATTAATCATTCATCTGCAATTTGGTTGCTTTCTTTCTTGTTCTTGCTTGTGTTCTTCATTACACAGGCAGGGATTAGCCTTCTTGGTGAGGTCAACCGGATCCGTGTCTTTGTTGATAACCAGAGGAGTTGTGGTGCTAAGATTGCAGGGTTCGATCTTTCGATCTGAAGCCGGATCGGTGTGTCATTCTCCGCCACAACGATAGTTACCTCTACCTGACAGAAGATCGGGATCCCCATCTGCACTAATGATCCTCCTCGCCTTTGGCCGGTTAGCTCACCACAGTAGCTCAGACGCGCACCATCAATATCCTCTTCCAACCACACTTTCCCTAATATGTTCCAATCGTACCATCATCACAAGACAAACTGCCACACACTACATGTGTGCTGGACGGTCCTTGTTGACGTTGGATACGATCCAAATCACACAGCAGCAGGGCCTTAGACGCTCGAGCCACCACAGACTGAAGAACGCAACGAGGATGTCACTCTTTCATAGTGAAGAACGGAGAGGTTTACAAGCAAACCACCAAAGCATAATAACATGATTGCGTGACGAAGATCCGGCTAGTTTTTAGGCAAACTAGCAAAGAAACCGTCGAAGCTCTCGCCAGGGAGAGACCCCGTCAGGGAAAGGATGTCGCCGGGTTGCTCTAGGTCGGCCGTAAGGCTGGATAACAAGCCGGCTCGGCTCGTTTCAGCTCGGCTCGTTCTGGCTCGTTAAGATAATGAGCTAGCTCGGCTTGGCTCGTTATTCTAACGAGCCAGAAAGTCAGCTCGGCTCGGCTCGTTAAAAGCTCGAGCTTGCTCGTTAAGCTCGCAAGCCAGATATAAAAAATACATAAAATATAATATTTGCATTTATCTAAAGTTTAAAAATAATAATAATACAAAAGAAATGCATCTAACAACCTTAAATCGAATAAAAAAATTAATATGCGCTAATATATATACAAGTATAATAAAATACTATAGTATCCATGCATCTAACAACCTTAAATGATACTTTTTTTCCTGAAAGCTTGGCTCGTTTAGCTCGCGAGCTCGCGAGCTGGCTCGAATTGGCTCATTATAGCTAACGAGCTAAAATCCTGGCTCAGCTCGGCTCATTATCATAACGAGCCGAGCCGAGCCAGCCGAGCCGAATCGAGCCAGCCACGAGCCGAGCGAGCTAACGAGCTTCGAGTTTTTCGTCCAGCCTTAGTCGGCCGGCAAGCCTAGGGCGCTATCCTAGGTCCTTGGATCAAGGGATGAACATCATGGAGGTTGGAGAAGAGGGTAAAGGGTTAGAGTAGAGGTAGTAGATTGATTTGTTTGACGATTGGATAGATGGAAACTCAATCGGCCATGATCCTCTCATATATATATATATATATATAGAGAGAGAGAGAGATGGGGTGGTCTTATCCTAATAGGAAATCTCACCAAAACTTATTTTTCAAGTTTTCCACGAGTTTGGAATAACCCAAATCAAAATCTAATAAGCCAGATCCGAAACAGGCCTGTCGGTAGTATCAGTCCGCGTCGGTAGTACCGACGTCCAGGACCTGGCTAATTATGGGTAGTACCGGTTTGGGTCGGTAGTACCGATGTCCAGGTCCAAATCTTCGCCACCTATCGGTAGTACCAATTTTGGTCGGTAGTACCGATGTTGAGGCATCTTCTTGAAAGCGTAACTCTCTCATCTGGACTCCGAATTAAACGTTCCATATATGTTTTTTTACCATCTTGATGAGAGGAACGCAATGGTGAGGTCCGTTTCTCATGTTGACAACTTCACAAACTGGACAATTTTAGTTGTCAACAGTCCTCATACCTGTCAGTGCCACGGCTGATCATTAATTGTTTGTCGTAAATTGGATCACGAGTATTTTCATTGGTATATGCAGCTATGAGGTATCTATCGTTCCTCACATCGTGGATCATGTAGGCTATGTGTCTGTGATGTGCCACTATCCCACTGCCCCATTAGTTTTTTTTTTTGCTTTGATGAATCCGATTATTTTGAAGCACTACATCTATTCAATTGTCGCATCTAAAAATTAAATTCTTCTCAAAAACATATCAGTCGTATTTTCTGGCTGTGTGATATATGTTGATATAGTAAAACCATGTCGTTCTTTTGTGATTTTATTTCCTATAGATGCCGTGTGATTTCTTACATCACAAGTTCGTAAGTGTACCTGCATTACCAACATCATACATATGTATAGGAAATAAAATCATATGTATACTTCTAACTTTGAGTGGTTTACATCCAAATCCATCTATATATCCTCTTGGATACCCGCAGCAAAGCGCGGGGAATTCTTCTAGTATTACAATGACAATGGTCACTGCTCCAACATCAAGACCGCTTCGTCTAGTTCTCTCTGGCTTCGATTTCTCTGTGCATTATATACTTGATAATAATTAGTTATTTTTATTTTTCTTCTCAGAAAAAACTAGTAGGAGCCAATAAAATAATAATTATATTTAACTTCACCGTCTTCCTCCTGTAACTGTAGCAGGAAGAGCCATGGCAGATGGACTGCAGCTAGGAAGGGACAGAGGAGATTGCAGGCCTGTGCGATTGCTGGCTGTGGAGTGTGGACGTCAGCGAGTTGCATTGCTAGTATCAGAAATCAGAAACACAGAAGTGAAGCAATGTTGAGCTGGCCAAAATGATATATGGGCCAAAAGGGAAGCCCACAGATGGCCTGTCATTCAAGCCGATGATGAGCTCCACATTTTCCTTTCCGGCCCAGCTAAGGCAGTATCACATTTTACTTTCCATTTTCAAGGAAGCGCCTAAACAAAACTTGTTGGTTTGTTTTTTTTTTTTGGAAAAGAAGTTGTTGAGTGCATGCTGCATGCATGCGTGCCTACAGACTGAATTGGGTCTCAACCTAGAGCATCTCCAAGAGTTTCCAAAAAAAACCCCTCCCAATCCTTTAATTTTTGGCACAATTGAAAAAATATATCTCTAACAACTCATAATCCCATCCCCCAATTTTTTGGCATTTGGAAAAAATTACCTCCACGCGTGGATAAATGCGTGCAGTCGTGATCGCACGTATCCACGCCCCACGCGCGCCCGCCTTGCTCCTTCCTCGAAATCCTCGCCACTGGGCTTGCTGTGCGGGATTGGCAAGGGATATGTGCCGCCACCGGAGAGAGACTGAAGAAGTGAGCGGCTTTATTGAGACGAGGGTTAAGAAGAAGAATATGCCTGCTTGCGATATAAGACAGAAGCCAAAGGTTTGCAAACTTTGGTCTTGGATGCCCTTCCTCTTTCGCCAGTACACAACGACATGCTGAGTTCTCAACTATTAGCATGAATCGAAGGACGTTGATTGTCGTTGTACCTATTGATAAAGGATTGGGAAACTATGACACGGACTATGCAACGGGCTTCAAGGAATTGAAGATCAACTAGTCACTATGCTGCATACTTGTACTGAGGAATGTTGCAGACTGACTTTCGTTGCTCGGCTGGAATAGAAATTGATGTGTGGAGAACTTATGAGATCTTTCACTCTTCAACAACGAAAGCCTTGAGGATGTTAGCCATGTGTTATAGGGATGTCTCGCGATCTTGCTTCTAGATTATGTACAGGAACATCCAATCGAGTGCCTAACATGGGGTTCTCCGATCTTGTTCCTGAGAAGAAAGACTGCCTTCTCCGTTCAATGTCGGGGCAACTGCGGGTGGAGATGGAGGAGGTGGAGCTCAGCCTCAGGCTATCGCATGGTGGCCGGTTCGGGTTCGATAGAAAGGGGGACAAGCTCCACCGGTCGTTGTCCATGGCGGCCATGCTGACAACGCCGGTGGAGGTGGCGGCGTCGCCTGCCCTCCCGTGGACGAGCTTGCTGCCGGTCCAAGCAGAGGCGTCGGAAATTGGGAGCAAGCAGTGGGCTGGATGGATGGGGTTCTTGCTGCCGGCCAGTCTAGGCAGCTATTGACTATCTCCAATCCAGCCCCTGCTTCCTCCCAACTTCCGACGCCTCCGCCTGGACTGACAGCGGGCTCGTCTGCAAGACGGTGGGCAGCGCCGGCACCGCCACCAGTGTTGTCCGCATGGCCGCCATGGACGACACCCAGGGGAGCTTGTCCCGCTTCCTATCGAGCCCGAACAGACCGCCAAGCGAGGCTGTGCTCCGGCCACCGGCTCCATCACCACCCACAGCTGCCCCGGCCTATGCTCCGGTGGTGGCGCGAGTCCCTTGCCAATCTCGCACAGCAAGCCTAGCGGCGAGGAGTTTGAGGAAGGAGCCAGGCAGGTGCGCATGGGGCGTGGAAGCGCGCGACCGCGACTGGCCACATTTATTTGCGCATGGGCTATTTTTTCCGAGTGCCAAAAATTAAAAGATTGGGAGAGTCTTTTGGGAACTCTTGAAGATGCTCTAACAATACTGCTGATTTTGGCTAATTAGACTAGATGTTAAACACAGCAAACATCTTTTCCTTACTTTCTGCAAACAAACATGCGTTGAGAGAGGAGGAGGCCATGCGTCAACAGCTTTGCGTGCCAATGGCCTCAAAACTCAAAGTGACTTTCTCTTTCTTTTTTTTGCAACCGCCCCATTAGGTGTACCCGTATTTGTTTTATCCTACACAAAAGTGGCAGTCGACTATTACTAGTGCAGACAAATCCTCAACAAGTTTTTTGGCATTACTAGCTAGTGTGTGTATTAATCCTTACAAGCAATGTAAGTTGAACAGTGGTTTTTGTGATGGATATATACATAGTATACAAATCTACATAGTTTTCGTACAAAAGAGGGTGGTGCTATAGCTGCTATCCACTCACAGAAAAGGTAGAGCCAAAACAAGAAACTGAACACACGCTGTCTGCGCTGGTCGTCCAAACCATTTTTCGTTCGCCACGCCAACAGCTACGTATGTGGTTTTCTTTGTTTGACTTGATGAGATGCTGATGAGTCATGCGTGAATCATACTAAGTATACAACAAAAAGTACTAACTACCTAGGAGTTTATGTCATCATTATTATTCATGGCATGCATGTATGAGCCATCCCACGAGTAAACCATGACACGTCATATTACTATCTAATCAAACTGTCTAGGAGTTTATATCTCCTATATTACTATATAATGCAAATTGATGGATTGTATATGAAAATCTCAAACGAGATTATGCATAGTAGGCTTCATATTAGGGATTTTCCAAATTTTCGCAAAGGAATGGTGCCTTGCAAGGAATGTTAATAACATGTGAGGTTATCATGTTTCACTTGGCTATATAAACATGCAATAAATAAATGATTAGCAATTTATCCTTTTATGTGAGCACAATTATATATTATTTGAGTAAAGACTTTCTACTAGCTATAGTTATCTATCGATTATTTATTTATTTATTTATAGCCAATGCACTTGGATGGAACAGAGTGTAGCCGCTAGGATTCGAACCAGCGACCTCTAGCCTCTCGCTCAGCCCCGCTCAGCCCCCCATCACCACACCACACAGTCAATTATGATTGCTTATATGATGTCATCTATTTGTACTAATATATACGAATCTTGTAATCAATAATTTGACTTGTAAACAATCTTAAATGGGAAAATTTTCAACTACAAAGTTTTATATCTTGTCGATCACTACAACTTTGATGTAGAACATGTCTCCATCCAAGAGCATTTGAAAAATTCAAAAGTTTGAAATTCAAAACCTGAGAACTTAATTATATATTTGGAATCCTAAATGATCTCAAACAAAAAATTTATCAACTACAAAGTTTTAGATCTCATCGAGATCTACAATTTTAATATAAATTTTTGTCTTCATCTCACTTCATTCGAAAAAGATATGATTTTATTTGTGCTACAGTTATTTGGGACGGTGGACTTAACAAAACCACCCCTACAGCAATGGTTCATTAGCTACAGTGCTCCCACGAAGGTTACGCGTGGTTTCCTAAGTCGCCCGTCTCTATTAGAAATGGGAGCCGTAAAAATGATTTCTATACTAGTGAATATAATACTTACAAAGTTGTAGTTCATGCCAAGCTTTATAATTTTGATATAAAGTTTGTGTCCATCTAATTTTATGTGTGAAATTGTTATGAATTTGATATAATTATAAGAGACCACCTATCACCGGTCAAGGGGTAAAGTAGACATATCACTAAACTTCAGAGGTTTATATGAACTTTTTCCCATCATAGAATGACCAATGACCTTCAAATGTTCTCAAAGTTCAGTGGTTTCTTCTCTGTTTATCACTGTAGGATCTGATGAGCTTGATCAAGTGCTACGATGCATGATCTAGTGAATAATCTTCACTATTTTCTCTTCCGTTGAACTCCTTAAGGATCATGTATATGTTTTGGTGATTTAGATGACAACACTAGAACCATAATTAACTTGTGTGTTAAGATGTGCTACAAAGGTTTATAAGGATGCAAGTTCCAAGTTCGGTTAAGATCTATGCACAAATGAATTAGTTGATCAAAAGGCAGTACATCTGCATAATACATTCACCAAATTGGTATGGTCAAGAGAAGAACCACCTGACATATCTTCTGGTGAACATCAGTAAGGGTGACAACTAAAGACCCTGTCGAACAGTGCAACAGACGATACGTGATACAATGGAGTCCCTGGCAGATTGTTCGATGATCATGAGTAGTGTGGCCAAAGGTTGGATTCTCTCTAATACAATGCCATTGAATAAAATTGTACACTGGGATCATCGTTCGGCAAGGAGGGCCCAACGTTGCTGAGTGAAGTGTTGACGGTTAGCTAGGGAATATCGCACTGTATGATACAGTGAAACACATCTAAAACCCCCGTGGATCATCTGGTGATGACTAGTTTTGCAGCTTTTACTTCAAATGGCTAGGAGTTTTAGGGGGCGATATATACTTACGACTAGATTAGCAAGTGATTAGGTTTTATCCCGCTTAGATGCCGAACTACGATCGCTGTGACAAGCCCACCACACGGCCACGCAGGCGTTCGGCACTTCTTGTGGCCTGTGTGCTGCTGCGCCTTCGCACTTCCTCAGCTACAGTAGGCGAGTGGTACTCCATGCCAGCACCTAGGACTGGATGAGTGTATATATGAATAATACTGAAATCCATAAGCCATGCAAATGATCTAATTAAATTGGCATACATCATTTCCTGTCCGTGGTTTGCAACAGAACTAGCTATATATACGATATTTATGAACAAGTACGTGTTATATGAATGGATAGCAGTATATACGAGCAAAGAATGTTATATGAGTTCACAATCCAATTCTTTAGTGTTTATCTTATTATTCAGGATCTCATTTACAAAAAGAAACAACAAAATAGCATACAAAGATCTTATACATACTTGATCCTGGTTGAATACAAGCATTAAACTGTTTGCATACAGTCAACTGTCTATAGATTGTACATCAGTACATGTCTAAAGAACAGAAAGCTGTCCGAAATTTCTAATTTAATGCGAATATGGATATTCACATATTTATTTTTGTGTATAAGAATTCGAAGATATAGATATCCAAGCATTATTAATTAGTGTATATGCTAGAGGTAGAAGATATAGATATCCAAGAATTAGTGTAACCCACTCTGTCACAAATTTAAAAAGAATTTATACATTAAGGCTCTAATATATAGAGAGACCTGCGCTGCACACCAGAATGGAGAACCAGAACGCATAATCCTCTATCTACGCCTCATCACAACAAGGCATGTTGATCCTATTTTCTCATGGCGGTGGCCATGACCACAATCGCCGTTGTCTTGGTTGTTGCTATCCTGTATTCGTCTCCATGCTACGAATCTGGTGGCTGTAAGCACCACTCCTCTCGTACCTAACTTTACATTATTTCGTTAAGCCTAATTTCTAAACGAAGTACCCTTGTTTGAACTGCATGATGTGTTCCATATGGACAGGCATTAGCTGCGACAGAAAGTGCTATCTCGTTGACCACTATCCTCACTACCGGAATCCTCAAATTTGCGGGTGTTTTTATGTTTGCCGAGTGTATTCCCTCGGACACTCGGCGAACAGGTTCTTTGCCGAGTGTAAAAAAAAAACACTCATAAAAAAAAACACTCGGCAAAGATAGGGTTTGCCGAGTGTCAAAAGAAAAACACTTGGCAAAGATAAAGTTTGCTGAGTGTAAAAAAAACACTTGGCAAAAAAATAAAATATTTTTTCTAGAAAAGAAGGAGAAAAAAAACTTTGCCGAGTGCTCAGATCTAGAACACTCGGCAAAGAAATAAAAAAAAATCTAGAAAAGAATGAGAAAAAAATAAAAAAAAAAACTTTGCTGAGTGTCCAGATATGGGACACTCGGCAAACAAAAAAAATATTTTCTTTAACCCACCCAGCACCCCACCCTCCCTCCGCACCCGCCCGCAGCGCCCCCTCACCTTCTTCCTCGGGTCACACGCACCCGGCCCCAGCGCCCCCTCCGTTTTCTTGCCCAGCCCCTAGCGCCCCCTCCCCTCCCCGCCGGCGCCCCTCCCCCTCCTCTCCCTCTCTTCCCCGGATCCGGCGGCCTCCCCCTCCTCTCCCTCTCTTCACCGGCGCGGACCGGCGGCGGCACGGGGGGCATGGCCCCTCTCCACTCCAGCACGACGCAGGGGGCACGGCCCCTCTCCACTCCGGCGTGCTCCATCAGCAGGCAGTGGCGGGCGGCCGTCCCCTCCCTCACCCCGGAGCACCTCCACCACCGCCCCCGGGCTGGTTTCGGTGGAGGGCGGCCGGATCCATGGCGGGACCGCCCTCTGACAGCGGATTCTGGGCCGGCAAGGCCGGATCCGGCAGCGGGGAGTCCTGATCCAGTGGCGGGGAGGCCGAGTGTTTTTGGGGCTTCGCCGAGTGCCCCTAGCACTCGGCAAATCTCCTGTATCCGGTAGTGACTACCGAGAAATGCGGCAGGCTGTGCGAATTCAAAGGATACAAAAGCAATAATCGACACTGTAAATATCTTG